TTCAAAGTAAAAGGTAAAGTTGTCCCTGTGCTCAGCTAATTAAGCACTACGCCGTGAAGGCATATGGAGGAGTGGATGTATAGATCCACATTTTCTTAGCTTGGCACTAGTTGGAGGTGAGTGGTCCGGCCGCTTTACGCCCGGGGAAGGAGCTCCCGGTACCCACTGGATACGAGGCTGGGTGGACCCCAGAGCCGGTGTGGACGACATGGAGAAGAAAGAATTTTTTATCCTACTGGGACTCGAACTCCGACTCCTCGTTCGTCCAGCCCATAGCCAGTCGCTATACCGGCTCCTAGATGCCTTTAGTCGAATACTAAATTTTACCTGTTATCAAGTGTCTCTATATTCCTATTATTGGGGCCCTTCCACCATTATTTCATTGGGCATCATTATACCTGCGGAGGGGTAGTGCTTCTGTGACGTCAGCAAGGTTGAGCAACCTTGCGACAATGGAGAGAGGTGGATCAGGGGGTAAACTGGGAGGTCCGGAGGACCAATAGTCAGTCGTCGTTTACACACCTCAATGTAAAGGTGTAGAAGCAAGTTTCCTGCGCGTCTCTTGATCGGTTTGCCATTCCTCATGCACAATAAGTAACAAGCCTGGAGCGAATGTTAGCATTGTTAAAAAAAATAATTTGCTAGCTGCGTACACATCCGTGGGAAAATTTATGCTACCTCGTTCTATAACATTATATTTTATTGACGGAAACTTTAAACTTTGTGATTCATGTTTCATAATCGCACGATATCTGACTTTGATGTAAACGCAAACAGTATCTCCGCAAGTAACAAGCATATCTGGACTTCAGCCATAGCAGGTACACTTGATTGAATGTAACTGAAGAAAGTACTCTGTTCGTGTCGATTTGGTGCGTTCAAGTCTCCAGTCGGTGAAGGAACAGGAACCTGACGTCACGAAAGTGAGGCAGTCGTGACACGCAACAATACCACGTGTGGGAATATAACCTTTTTTTTTCTGATGTGTGTTTCTCGTGAAATGGCTGGTTGCTTGGATGTCGCCTCTACAAATACGGTTATGGTGACAAGAAACACTGGCACAGCAACAGAAGAGAGTCGTAAGGTAAGGGCAATTTTTCCAGTATTACCGTAAATTAATATTAACGGAGTTTCACAATTTAACTCTTCTCGTGAACATGTAACCAATCATTTATAACGATCGATAGTTAATTTAAGCAGGATCCAGGCTTGTACTGTAAAGAAGAACAAAGGGACATAGCCCCGTTCTTGCATGCAAATAATAGAAATTCAAAATAATTTTGATTCAGAATTCTACTAGTAATTCTGCACTTCAATGTACCTTAGTTAATAATATTAAATGATTAGTGAACAGGTAATGAATTAGCCCAGGATATGGTGCGAGGACTATAATGGCGACGAGATGATGAAGGGAATTCCTCAAATATTTTAACAGCTATAAACAGCTGACGCCGGTCACGGTAGCCGAGCGATCTAAGGCGTGTACTGTCTTCACTCGCTTGGAAACCGGGATCGAGGGATTGAATCCCACTCAGGGCATGGATGTTTAGTTCGTGTGTGTGCGTTTTTCTGTGTTTGTGTACAGGTAGAGGCCTTGTGACGAGCTGATCACCCGCCCAAGGAGTTCTACCGAATGTGTAAGATCTAGAAAAACCGAAGTGAACGGAGAAGTTCATGGAGGTAGGCCTAGGCCCACTGGGGCTGTAGTGCCAAGGAAAAGAAAAATAAACAGTTGACTGAAGAGTGAAACATAGATTTAGCGTTCTCTTTAGTAGAAACTCAACTAATCTGCTTCTCTAGTTAGAGTGCTTCAAGTATACAATCTAGCGAAGAAATACAGGCCTAACACAGGAATACCAACTGAAATAAGAATATCATAGTAGTCCAAAAAGAATTCATAATAAGGAGCGAAAATCAGTAATAAACGATGCAACCGGAAAAACTGGCAGGGCCTAATATCAATTACCCGAAATATAACCTATCTCTTAATCGTGTTAAGTATTTTATTTTCGAAACAACTATCTTCCAATACATATGCGGTAAAATTAACCTCTTGCTGGAAAGTGGTTACTATGAATACCAAATGTTTGAAGTAAGTAACAGGACAGTAATGCAATAAAAACCATCAATAAAATAGGCGGAAGTTAGAAACTGTATTTGTTGGATATAATATGTATCACATGTTTATCCATAAACAAATTTTTTAACCACTACATTAATCCTTCCAGCCGCAGTATGGCCCTGGGGTCGACTCAGCCTCTGACAGAAATGAGTACCAGGAATATTCTTGGGGGTAAAGGGCGGCCGGCGCTTAGGCTGACAATCTCACCGCCATCTATGAACCGATTGTCTAGAAGATGTGGGAACCTCAACATCTCACAACCCTATGGGCCTCCAAGGCCTGTTACAAGGATACCTTTACTTTACTTTACCTTTATATTTTATACTTAATGATTTTATTGCTTCGTTATAAATATAAAGTATAACGGCAGAAATATCTCATACAAAGAAATAAATGACACGGTGTTTCATAAACTGAATTTATACAGACCTATAGAATTACTTTGGCCCTAAGAATAAACTTTGACCTATACCACAAACATCGCTATCCGACCGATGTTTCCAACTGCGATGCAGTGATTTTTCATTGAGAT